TTCAAGTAAATTAATCAAATACAACTAAATTGCTTCAAGGGACTTTATACACAATGCAAATAGAGTAAAATGTTTAAAAAATGTGTTTTATTTAACAATAGTTCCAGAACAATTAGGAAAAAATGTTATACATCTAGTGAAACGCCTTTTACGCGTCCACCACCATCATTCGATCTGTCGAGTGTGTATTTTAATAAAGTCATTATTCCTGTTCATATTTCGGCAACTGTAAAAGTCGCTTTAATTGAAATGACGTTCTCTATAAGAAAAAAGTATTGTCTGAGTAATAAAATACATAAAAAAATAAATATAAAACAGCATCAAAGCAACGAACTCTGAATTTTAAAAATATATAGTTTTACACTAGACTTACCAGTAACAACCTTACAAATGTTTGTTCCTTCAAACATTTCTTTTGATTATAAACCATATATATATATATATATATATATATATATATATATATATATATATATATATATATATATATATATATATATATATATATATATATATATATGTATATATATATATACATACATACATACATACATACATACATACATACATACATACATACATATATATATATATATATATATATATATATATATATATATATATATATATATATATATATATATATATATATATATATATATATATATATATATATATATGTATATATATATATATATATATATATATATATATATATATATATATATATATATATATATATATATATATGTATATATATATATATATATATATATATATATATATATATATATACACACATACATACATACATACATACATACATACATATATATATATATATATATATATATATATATATATATATATATATATATATATATATATATATATATATATATATATATATATATATATATATGTATATATATATATATATATATACACACATACATACATACATACATACATACATACATACATACATATATATATATATATATATATATATATATATATATATATATATATATATATATATATATATATATATATATATATATATATATACATATATATATATATATATATATATATATATATATATATATATATATATATATATAAATATATAATTTATCAATTGTTAATATAACAATAGCAATAATATAGAAATATATGTATATATATAATATATATATATATATATATATATATGTATATATATATATATATATATATATATATATATATATATATATATATATGTATATATATATATATATATATATATATATATATATATATATATACATATATATATATTCATATACGCATATGTGTGTATATATTTGTATGTATATAAACATACAAATAAATGTATGTTTATTTATGTACATATATATGCATGTATATATAGAGTGGAAAAAAGGATAACTATCATTACAAAACAACTTTTCCACTTTAAGGTTGTTCTTTAGCTCAAGGAAATAAAAAAAAATCATTAAAAAAAAATTAAAAAAACAAATTCTAATCAGACATAATTAAAAAAAAAAGATTTATTTTATGTCTGATTAGAATTCGTCAAACTTTTAAGCTAAAGATATTTTTATAACAAACTATAATAACTAGATTCAAAAGATTTTTTATTCAAAACTTTTTGCTAACCTTTGCATCACATTTTTTGTAATTGTCTTACCTCTTATCTTATAAAATTTATAATAGTATATTATCTTATAAAAATCTAAAGGGTTAATAAAATAATTACATCACATTATTTTTATAGTAAATTTATAATAAGTTACAAGTATATTAACTTAAGCAAATGCATAATCCCAAAAAAAACAATGAAAAAGCTGCAAAAAGTCATGGTTTGAAATAACCTTCAGATCTCACCCGAAAATCATTTAATTGTTATCATAATCACTAAATGACTGCTGCAAACTCACCCATCAAATTTCAGGACTATTTGTCATGATATTATTTTAATTACTGAAAAGAGCTCTACTAACATCTCTTTCATTTCTACCAGTGTATGCTTTCTTATGAAATTCTATTCTATATTCTAAAATAATAAAGATATTACAGGGACACAAAAAATTTCTAAAAGCATCGAAGCACAAAAAAAAAACATACTGTATCAAAATATTTATTTATTAAATAAACAAAAATATTGGATTTTTAAAAACTATATATTTTTTCTAACAACTTAAGGATAATTACTTTCTTTTTTTACTAATTAATAAAATGAATGCATACCGAAATAAATACCAAATATTTCACATACCTTCCTCAGTAATGGGAGACTTTCCATTTAATGAGGAATCTTTTTTAGTAGCTTTTCTTATAAGGAAAATTAATGCAGGTGTCTCTAGCAAAACAACTTTTTTTTCTGCGGAAAAATACAAACGCCATCCTGGCTTTGCACTTTATAAAAATCCTCAATTCCTCAGGAAAATCTTTCCATTGCTGATCTAATTATCTTTAAAATCAAAAAGTCAACAATAGAAAAAAATTTTTTAAACACTCATAAAATGAATAAAATATATTATATAACAACAAAATATGTAAACTATTGAAGCATTGAAAAAAACATTTGAATCTTTTCTTCCTAAAACAATTTGGTGACCGACAATCAATACCTTGAACTACAGAATACGGAGTATGCATAAAAGTTGTATTCTTTTTCTTTTTTTGCATTAAAGGAGTATGTACTTGCTTACTATTCTGTTGGTTATTTTTGGTTGGATTATGTTTTCTCTTGTTAAAGAATGGTCGTGGTTGCTATAATAAATAATATCAAAAGAAAACTAGTAATACTTGAATAAATTTTCAACTTAAGTTTAAATCTTTTAAAATACTTCTATCTGAGTATCACTATTAGTGGGCAAATTCAAAATTATCAAATAACTCATGATCTATGAATAATTATTCAATTTAAAAATTTTCTAATATATTATGTAATAAAAAATATATCTTAAACACTAAAAACAACATATACAGAAAAATAGCATTTTAAAGAAGAAAGGAAAAAAGTAATGACTTAATGTTTATAAACAAAATTATATTATCTACACAACATTTAATTTTGAGCAGCTTAAACCTGTATTAGTTAGACTGCGGTTCATGCATTTCATTGAAACAATTTATTACATTTAATGATGATGGCTAACACAAAAAATTATGAATCGTATTTTCTTTCTCCATTTCTCTCTATTTTTTATCCAAACAGCTTGAATGTACATTTTGCTTGCACTACTATACTTTATAAACTGGAAAAGTTTATTTGTAAAAACAACATTTTTTATTCTCATACATAAAATTTTTGTTAATGTAAACTAACTAACAGAAAATTACAACTTTAACTTATACATTGTATAGCTGCCTAGTGAAAATTATATTGAAATTAAAGTGTTAAAATATTTTACCTATAGGCCTGAGAAGTTTCGAAGTTTCGAATCGAATCAAATCAAAAATAAAATTCAAAAATTACAATTCAAAAATTTTCAAAAATTGAATTCTTGCTTATTTTGTTTTTGTTGTGGGTATTTTAGATATTCTGGGCTTTAGCGCTATCAAAATAATGTACATATCCTTAAATACCTTTTTAATCAGTCATTAAAAAGGTTAACCAGGGAAAAAATCATCAAATATAGATTATACAATTGTTTTACTTATTTTATTCTAAAATATATATTATTAAATAAAAAATGCTTAAATTAAGACTTCAAAATGTTAATTCGAACACTACTATGTGATTGGGATTGCGAATCAAGACGTGCTTTGATTCGAGATTCATTTTGAAACAAGAACTGCTGATTGACAGGGCCCTAGTTTTACCACAAATCTTTAAAAAGCTTTTAAAAGTACTATTTTCTTTATAATAACAAAATTTATAACAATAGTTTTTAAAATTAATTTGATAAAAAATTAAGATTTTTTATCAAATTAATTTTAAAAATTATTGTTATAAACTTATTTTTTGGTGACTCTTTTTTTAGAAATCATAACAAGCTTTATTTAAGAGTTAAACTTAAGGATTAAATAAAAACAAATTTAAATTTATTTACCATATATATATATATATATATATATATATATATATATATATATATATATATATATATATATATATATATAGAGGTACGCGGAAATCGCGGTTTACGGAACCGATTTTTATGCTAAAATTTTTGTTCTCGTTTTTTTCACTCTTTTTTATGCAGCGTGAGGCAGACGTAGTTTTAAGTAGTTTCTTTTTAGAAACATATATAGACATAGATACTTTTTGGAAAAAAGAAAAGTTAATCTTGATTTTTGAAATACTTTTATATATGGTTACTAAACTTTATTATGGAATATTTTGCTCCTGAATATTAGGTTGATATTCTCCTATGAATTTGTGGTCAAAGAAATGTAGAGTCTGCTTTTTTTATTTTTAAAATAGCTTGTTTCATGCATTTTCTATGCACATGCCAAATTTCAGCAAAAAATAATTATAAGCAATTAGTCTAATTAGTGTTATACCAAGTATACCACTTTTTTTAGGTAGCCCTAGGCAAACGGTTTTTTGAGGTGGTTTTTTTTAGAAACATATATAAACCTTGACGACTTTTGAAAGAAGAAAGATTAGGCTTGTTTTTTATAAACTATTGTGTATCGCTAACATACCTTTTTATGTAGTATTTTGCTGAGAATTTTGCATGGAAATTTGGCTGATGTTGTAACATGGATTTGTAGTCAAAGAAATATAGAGTCTGCTTTTTTTATTATTAAAATAGTTTTCTTCATGAATTTTCTATGAGCATGCCAAATTTCAACGAAAAATAATTATAAGCAATTAGTCTAATTAGTGTTGGACTTTAGGTACCTAATTTCGGTTTTTCTGTTGTTGTTTTTTTTGGTAAGCAAAATCCGGTAGGCGCCGAAATCTGGATAAGGGGGCGTTTCAACTAATAATCTTATTTTGAATTATTGTGATATATATTATTAGATTTAAAAATGGCAAATTATAGCAAAAATGTGTTAGATGCCCTAACAGAAAGTAAGTTTAATTTTTTTTATTCTTAATAACAGTTAATAATAATTCTTATTAATAACTATTTTTAACTCCAAAAAAAAAATGATTAATGTAAAACCTTCATTGTTTTTTATGTAACATATTAAAAAGCTAGTACTTTTTGATCTGTGAATAGATTTCAAAGATTACCAGTTTCAAAGTCATTATTTGCAATATTTATTTTTTATTACAAATTTTAAATTTTAGCTACATTTACGTGTTCAACGAATGGTAAGTTTAACAATTATTACTTCTTAATATGTGTATACATATTCCTGATAAATGCAATATAAATTTTTTATTAAATCATTTTTAACCTTAGTTCCTTCTACATCTACTATTTGTGGTATGTTTACAAGTTTTTACTTTTTAATTCATGATATTCATCTGAGCGCCAAACGTCCGCAAAATTTTATATCCGCCATGATGGGTGGCAAAAAACTATAAACAAACTTAAGTCGGCTAAAATAGATCCGTAAAAAATGATTAGGTTGTAGCTTTCTTAGCAAACTATGCCATATCCGAATTATAAAAATTCTTTATTTATAAGTATTATAGGATATTATAACAAAAATTAGCAGTTCTAGATTAATTTAGACCCGTATTAATTATCAAAAGACTGTACAATTAATTAATTCTTTCAGGCAAATGGCTTAATCTCACTTTACTGATATATTTTATCTAATATGTTATCTTTTTAAATCATTCCCCAAATCTAGTTTTAAATTCTACAAACGTCTTAAATCTTACAACTTTGTAACCTGTTGTCTGGTTCATAGCATTCCTTTTAAACTTATTTTTAATCAAGATAATAAACAAGTTAAAACAAGGTCTATGGTCTATATATACAGTAACTGGTCGTATAGGTCAGAGTACTTTTTCTAAAACCCTAATGAATTGATTGATTAGCTTTCAAGAAACTTGAGAAATTATAAATGCAATTCAGTCTTTCCTCATGCAAGAGCGACATCTTATTACATGCAAAACTATATTACAGTAATTTTGAGTATCTGAAAATCAATCAATAATATATTTTAGATTATAATTCTTACATTTAAGGATAAACTTTAACAAATTTAAAATAGTAAACACAATATTTATTAAAAAAAACTGATGTTATTAAGATTATAAAAATAACAATAAAAATAATAATAACAAGGTCAGGGGCACACAGAGTCTTTATAATGCACAGGGTAGATAATTGAAAATTTACTAGATGGCTCTTATATCTTAAAAATAACAATAATAAGACTAATAAAGTACTTCTAGTGATTTTCGTCGTCTAATAATCCTGGATCTTCCACCCTATGTGCACCTCTAAACAATGTTCACAATATAGAGTCTTATCTGTTCTTATTCAAATAAAGTGAGAAACTTTTACAAAAAAGAACGAGAACAGTTAAAGTCATGATCTTATACAACTTTTGAATAAAATATTTTCAAATTTAAAAATAACATATAAATATTTTTAAATAAAGACATCACTAAAGATGAATTTAAATAATTTCAGCATTTATAAAAATAAAATCTTAGGTTAGCCAGAATACTTTGTATAGAACATTTCGAATACTAAAAAAACTTTTCAGGGCTCGGTATGAAATTATATTTTATTTTGTTAGTAATACTAAGTTTATGTAAACCTAGAGTGTTGTTTTTATCAAATATTAAAACCAATTAAAATATTTTGCTTTTACTGCAAAAAATATTCAAAGCAACCCCATTTGCGAGGTAACTTTGAATGATTAAGTAAACAAATATTATTCCTAATCCTTTGATTTAAACATTATTTTAAAGTTGTGTTTTTTAAGAGCCTGTCATAGCTCTTATATGCATAATAAAATAATTCAAATATTGTCAATAGTGAAAGAAGGGCATATAAAAATGTCTTTTAAAATTTTATATGTTCCTTCTTTTATCTGATTATCAAACCTTTGTTTTTATTGATAGTTAATTTTTGTAATTAAAAAATGCGATTTTTCCCCTTTCATCAATTGCTGCCTTGCTGTTTTCATTAAGTTTTGAACAGCTGTAAATTTACATTTTACAACTAAGTTATAAACTGAACTTTGCTATCTTCATTAAGTTTTAAACTGAACGTCGTTTTCTTGATTTCATTTTAAACTGAACTTTGCTGTCTTCGTTACGTGTTGAAGTGCAGTGTTTGCTGTCATCATGAAGTTTTAAACTGAACCTTTATGTTTTTATAAAGTTATAAACTGAATTAAGCTGTCTTCATCTAGTTTTAAATTGAACTTTGCTGTATTCATTAAGTTTTAAACTAAATTTTTTAATTTCTTGATTTCATTGTTTAGTTCTTATAATTTTGGCAGTTTTCTCAGATTCTTTGACAATTAAAAAAAATTCTTTTAATCAGCTGTTAATATTATTTTCTTCAATGAACACTTTTGGTAGATCTTTTGTTCAAACGATTTGATGTATTATATACAATAAATTTCTTTTACTTTTTATATAAAGGCGTTTAATCGAGGAAAAAAAATCAGCATGGTTTTTATGAACACTTTTTCTTCGAAGCTCGAGTGGTTATGTGTAAAGTTCACAGTTCGGCTAAACTAAAGTCTTTCTTTAAAACCGCTTGTCATAACGTCCATTGCTCTTCTTTTTTTTTTGAAAACTTATTAAAATATTATTTACTGCATTTTAATTTTTTGTTTTCGCAGTTTGGTACGCAACAACTCGAGCTGTAATGTCAAAAAATGTCTAAGATCTTCGACGTTTTTTTATTTGTTTACTTCTTTTTGCCACCCGTCATGGCGAATAGAAAATTTTGCGGACGCTTGGCGCTCAGATGAATATCATGAATATGTTTATGCATATCTTGGCAATTACAGTATTTATTTTTAATCACAACTTTGATAATCTTTAGTTATATCTTCTGCGGCTTCTATGACTCGTAAGTTTAAAAACTATTATTTGCAAACATTTACACACCTTTCTTATCAATTGCAAATTTTTATAGAAACTTTTTTTATCTTTAGTTCCAGGTGTTCAACCTTCTGCTGGTAAATTTATGATTTAAAAATGTTTCTTAATGATTATTGAATTTATGTTTATATATACACTATTTAATGCATTAGTGTTGTGTTATCCCTCAAAGTGCAGCAGAATGAAATTATTACTCTCATTAATTGTCTTAGTTATCATTGATTAATACGTTGTTCATATTATTTTTTCAGCCTATCACTTTTGCAATAAATTGTTGTATATTAAATTTTACATAATGCCATTCAGTACTAATCTATTAACGAATCATTGTCATTTAGAGCTAACTTATCAAGACTACCTATTATATAGGTCCCAGCATCCTGGACCCACCAGCAATAGTTCATTTAAGCGATGGGTCCGGTTAGGAGGAAGGGACAATAATTCTTTTAAATGGCCCTATAGATTATTACAATTATTAGGCACCACCATTCCTTTTTTTTTTAAATATATATTTAATTTCTGCAAGTTTATTTTCCGTTTTTTCCCAATTTATACAATTATCAACATTTGCTTTATATTTTTTCAAATTTTTACCCAAAAAAATTTAAAAGCAAAACATTGTAAGAGTCCCAATGAAATACTTTTTACACTTTTAAAAGTTGTATTATATAAATTTGTAAAGTTTACACTATAGATAGATGTGGACCTTTCAATAGAATAAGGTTTTTTTTTTAAGACTCTGTAGCCCACGTTAAATGTAATTTTAAATTTATGTGTAATATTTCAAATGTTGATAAATGTCAAGTGTATTTTGCAAACCTATTTACTATTCTTGTTTTAGTTTATTAAAATTGTTTGTTTGACTTTATTAATAGTTATTTGATTTTATGTTATTGTACCCTATGTTTACAGTTCCTAAAAATTATATTTGCATTATTGAGGTTGAAATATCAGTTTGTAATCGTAACTTGTTTAAAGAAGGTATGTATGAGTTTTTTAAATTATTTAATATTTTTTAGGTTTATATAATTTAGTACATTTTTTTACATTATTTATAATATTGTTAATCTTGGAATTTTAAACAATATCATTTACTAAAAGCCAAGACTTAAATTTATTATTTTTTGTTATATAAGTTAAAACTTATATAATAATATTATATTATTATATAAGTTTTAAAATTAGTTTTATCTTTGGCCTATTTTTAGGGTGGATACTCCAACTTGCATTTTGTAATGTGGTAAGATTAGAAAAGTTATGTCTCTTTAAATAAACATAATTTAAAAACATTTAAAAAATTTTTATTGACATTTTTTGCAAGTTTGAATGAGAAGGGGAGGGGGCGTTGGGTGTAGCACACACCCCTACCTGTACTAACATATTAAAATAATCTTGAATACTTGTTTCTCTTTTCCAATAAACTTAATTTAAAACTATTTTTCAAATATCTTTTAAAATTTTTTTTTTTAGGTTTGGTACGACTGGGCAGGAAGGGGGGCGTTTGGCGTGGCACATGTTCCGTCCCTTATGTCAACTTATACACCACTTGTATTTGCTGTAAAGTAAGAAAATTTAATTAAAAATTTTTCATACAAAATATAATCATTGTTTTTTAGGTTCAAATATTTATAACAATGTAGCATTTCACTGCGAGGGTGTTAAAACGTAACAAAGACCTCCACCCTTGAATCTAAAATAGACCACTAATATTTGGAAATGGATTGGAAGCAAATTGGAACAATTTTTTGTGTATAAAGATGACATATTTTATCAGAAAAACACTCTTTCGTGTGAAAAACTTGTATTTTTTTAAGGGTACGAGGGTGTTCCGGTCCCCCCTCCGGTCCTCTAGATACCTCTTTCATCTATAGAGTTATATGAACTTGTAGCCTACTCTTACATCTATCTTTTGATACCAAGGTATAGACATTTAGATAAGATTTGACAAAGTTATAACAATTTTAGTGGGAAAAAAAAAAAAATTTTGGAACCAGTTTCTTCAATAAATCCATATATCGAAAATTTGCTACTAAAAACGCAATAACTTTTTATAGAATTGTCCGATTTTCACCATTAAAATACTGTATTTGAGGGCTTTCTAATGATATATAATATTCTAGTATTTAATTAATTTAAAAAAATCACTCCGCGTACCTATATATATATATATATATATATATATATATATATATATATATATATATATATATATATATATATATATATATATATATATATATATATATATACATTGAAAATATATATTTTATATTTATATAATATAAAATTAGTATAGTTAAATATACTAACATACATAGAAAAACCATTTAATAAATTTCTAAAAAAAAAACTTAAAAAACTGTAAGAAAAATTACAAAGTCTACTTGTAATCCACACTCATAAAATATTACCGTCATAAAAAAATATCTATTTAATATTTATTTAACTAACTCCATCCCAAGTTAAACCATGTGATACTGTTAAATTGTAAAATTTAACAATATTACATTAACTTTTTAAAAAGGCAAAAAAGCCTTATGAAAAACTAGTAAAAAAAACTTATGAAAAACTAGTAAAAAAACTTATGAAAAACTAGTAAAAAAACATGCGTATTTGAGTTCTCAAAATGTAATACGAAAGGTCGAACTGTTAATATAGAAAATTGAATTAACGTGGAATCAACGTCGATATTTATTGATAGTTTTTAAACAAATTTTCAACGTTGATACAATGTTGAATTTTAGTTATACGACGTCGCGACTAAAAATCAACCGTAAATCAACGTCAAAATAACGTCGTGTGCCCACTGGGTAAATTGCCAATTATAACTAAGTATATAAACTTTTGCTTTTAGAGAAACCGTGCTATTGGGGTAAAGTGAGACAAGTGTGAGTAGAAGTGGGAGAAATAAATTTAAATCAACTTTTTAGGACAAATTATTGAATAGAAACTGATAAATCATGAAATCATAAAATCACCTAATCTTCATAAAAATATTAAAGAGCTTTCAACAATTGTAATAATCAAAAGGCGAAGGGGAAAAGCAGGGCATAAATATTTATTTTTTCTGTCCCACTTTACCCCAATCTAAACACTTTTTTAAGGTACATTCTAAAATTAGGGTTTTTGTGCACAAAGGGAAATAAAGCAATTTCTACAAAATAGAGGGGAAGAAATTTATTCAGGCACCACTTCTAATTAGAACTTTCAGGCAGTCTTGCTTCTCCCGCGTCCCACTTCTCCACTACTTTTCAACTAATGGATTAGAAAAAATTGAAAAAAACTTTTAAACTTTTATTTTCTTTCCTAAACATTCATTTCTCAATTTTCAATGAATTTACAAAAACGTTAGGAATACAAAAAGGTGCATTAAAAAAAACGGCTATTGATTAACACCAAATCAAAAAAGTAAAGGTAAATTGAAGATTGTTTAAGACAAAAAAATTTAAGAGTAGATGGCACGAAAATAGCCATGTGTATCAAGAGTAGATGGCACGTAAAAGGCCATGAAAAGTAAAAGGCCTATAAAACGTACCAGCATCACGTTAAATAATTAGATCGTTAAATAAGTGAGCAAATTAAGCAATTAAGGTATTTTTTGTTAACCCAGACAAACAAATAAAAATAAAAAAATTTTACGTTAACCGAACTAAAGCATTTGCTTTGTCATGCGAATTTTTTTTTTTTACGGCATTTTTATAGTGATAATTTAGTACTTTTACTAATATTTAACTCACATTGTATATTCTAGTCGTAATTTATATATTTATAGTATATTATGACCAGAAACATATTTATTACGTATGGATTTGTAAAAGTAGGACAGCAATGGCGAGGGTCCTTATGCTATAAGGAGCAAAATTATTTTTTCTTTTAGACCGAAAGTAGATTATTGGTCATAATTAAACTTTTAAATGTGGTCAAGGGGAGGGCATATTTTTTTAATTTCTTTTTTGTTACTTTTTAAATTATTTTTTAAGTTTCCCCAAGAAGTCTGTACTGTACAGAATCCCGCGTAAAAGCATTTAACATCGCGCCTCTTTTTTATCTGATGTTGCAAAACTCACCCATTTTGTGGTAAACCTTTAACCTTTATGATAAAATATTTATTATGCATCATTTATTTGGTATCCGGGGAGGGGGAGATAAACTAAATGCTGTAAAACGATATCCGTTAAGCGCTAGGAAAGCCGATTAACCATAGCGCACCCATGGCCTACTTAAATTATACGGCCTGATTTGTTGCATTTTCCGTAAAAAATTAAGAGGCCAGTTTTTTTACGGCTCAAGTATAAAAACTTAATTTTTGTTATGGTTAAGAGTCTTGTTTGCACCATAATTGTTTTATTTTTATTTTATTAAAATAGTTTAATTATAGTTAGATTTTCTTTGAGTACATACATTATTTTGTGCTAGATTTTCTGTTAACTGATTGCCTGCTTCAGTTTATTCCAACAACACAGAATACTGAAATAGGCTTCCAGATAACTATATCAACATATACCAACATGCTACTAAAAATAATCTCTCATGTTGCTTAGATTGCCTAAAACTCTCTATTGAGCAAAAAAAAGGTTTGTAGTTTTGTATTTTTTATAATTGAAATAAGAAGAAATACATTTTTGCTAGAAATGTTTATTTTGTCTTTTTTGGAATTCCTTTACTTGATCTTTTTTAAATGAATATGTATTTTTTTTTTTTTTTTGTAAATTACTATAAAAAATATAATAATATTTTTTATATTAATTTGCAATACAATACGAGATCTATATTTGATTCCCATTTTTGGTGGTTTTTATTTGTAAAGTTTAAACTGCTAGATCAAATCTTTGAAATTTGTTTCGCAAATTTTTAATTAAAAAAGAATGACTGCAATGTTTTATTAGAATAAGAGAAATAACATAAAATACTAAAAAGATGACAAATAAAATTAGACAGAGGTTGAATTGAATATATAGGTTTTTCTCTTTATAAAGTAATGTTTATTGATCATAAGTTTAACATCAAAATCTTTTTGTTAATTTTTACCATTATTACTTGCTTTAGTATATATATTTGTGCTATCTTCAGAAAGCTGACAGTTGTATTTATGTAGAAAACTAAGCAATATCTTGCATAATATTT